AAGCAGTTGAATTGATGAATACACACGTGTGTGAATTCAGACAGTCTATATTCATTGGTGGTTCTTATTATCGGGTAATTGTCGAGCACTAGAGTTGGGCTGTTGTGAATGTTTTTTGCATCAACTCAGTCCAGGAGCATCATTTCGAAATTGTAATTTTAAGAATATTACCTTCTCTAGAACAGTTGTTTTTACATTTTTCAAAGTTGAATTCTAGGTCTGATCATTTATGAACTGGATAGTAGGACCTTCAGTGACACAGTATTATTCAGACAGATTTGTGTGCGATCGACAACTCACTGCCGCGTAAAGCTGTTTTATCAGCCTAAAAGTGTTTTGTATATATATACAAGCCACAGTAAAGTCGGTTTAGAGTGGTTCAAATGAAATTATTTACAAACTTATGAAACAATTGGAAACGAATCAACATTCTTTTGCACAACAGATATTTTGTTTTTAAGAGATTAGAGATAATTCCGAAGTTTAACAAGTTCTTAAAACAAACGTAAAAGGGATGGTATACGTTGTTCAGTCTACATCATTTCTAACTATAAATTTCTAATTAAAAATATTTCTAGATGCCTATTGACTACTAATAAATTGTATCGAATTCTTAAGATCATTTCAAGATTAGCTCAAGTTTGGTAATATTAGTATGGTTACATTTTAAAGACCAAGGGTACACTTCAAAATATCATAGTTAAGCTATTTCAGTGAACTTAGGATATAAGTCAAGCATTTTCATTTTACCTCTAGACACGGATTAACTATTACAAACAACTACTTATTAGTTGATCATAATCCATCTAAAGTACATCTCAGTTATTGTCCAACTTCTGCATAGATTTAAAAACACATCCTCTAGGCTTAACTTATTCTAGGTAATTTAAACTAATCATGTGTCTGTATTCACAAGCGTCATACATGTGAATTTGTATGTCTACACAGGTAGAGGTATATTGGACCATAGATGATGACCTTGATATGTTTCAATTACGTGTAGTTTACCACCTGTTTTCATATTCGATTGCTTTATATTCCTACCTTTCATCATATTATCATTGTTATGTCCGTAGTCTATTGGGTTTTGTGTGCTTATTTGTACTATTGGTGTAATCATATCTCTCTATTACCGGCATCAGCATCATTTGCGTTTGTTTGCCGTAGTGAAAGTACTATTTGCTTTATTCTAATTGGATGCATAGAGAATCAAAACACTATTTTCATCCGTTACAAAAGTTAGAGAATTAGGAATTAGATTGGTGGATTATCGGTAATCATGTTTGTCACCTTGGAGAGTTTATCCTATTTGACCAACAGGAGAGTCTTATAATAGATAACATTATATTTAAGCGTTATCCACAAACTTGACATATGCAAAACGGACTTTAAGAAATCGAAATATTTTTTTAACAGGGGGGGTATCATTAGAAAAACCAGTAGGATTAATATACATTGGTTGTCTGGATCTTGCCACTGATGATGTATTGAACTACAAACTATAAGTCTCGTTTGGCATATATACAGCCTAGATATATTACCATTAAAGCACAAGCATTTACCATAGAGATAGACAGGAGTTAAAAACTGATCAATTGCCATTTTAGATATCGATGGGAAGATCAGAATAGTCAATATACATTAATTAAAATTTAATCCGTTGTCCAAACCAATGACTCTCTGGATTCAGTAGCTCAGGGGATAACGCGATGGCGTTTGAAGCTAACGGTACTGGATTTCAAGTCTTAGGGTAAAAGTCATCTCTGGAGATGTAGGTAAATCCTACATCATAAGGATAAATAAACCATTGATGTAGTTATTCGCATTACTGATGTGTTAATAATTCAGGCAAATATTTTCAAAATTATTTGTTGAAATGGAAAAAGGGGTGCCTGATAGATTTTATTGTTACGTTTTTAAAATTAAATGACAAAGTGAACTTGGTACTCAGTTAAATTAAATCAAGTTATAAACGCTTCATATTAACAAATTCATTATTTTTTTCCAGTAATTTTTTACTCTTTTAAATAAACAAATGAAATTTTTCATCAAAATGTGAAGTTATTAATTGTTGGAATCGTGTTAACCTACGTGATATAATAACTGTGTATGTTGTTGAGTAGTAGTGGTCTTAGATGAGGACGAGTTGACCATCTAGTGCTCCTTAGTTTTCAATAATTATCCTCCAGTCAATATCAACTGACGAAGAAACTTAGTGCTAATTTGAAATTATTTATCAAGACACCCTGTTCAAGTAACTTTCGATGATGAGGGAATATTTAAATCATCTGGATTTGTATATTTACAAACAATTAGAAAATATTTTAGTTAAATGAGTTTGGTGTGATTTTTAAGTTGTATTCGTTACAGATTGTTCTCAGTTGGAATACAAATTAAAACCAAAGAATATAACACTTCAACAGTATGTGCTCACCACCACCGTCGAACAAAATCCAGTATTTGAGTTCTGTAGTTGAATAAATAACCATTAGGACCATTGAGTTGGTTTTCCATGATTCAGTTTTAACTTCAGCCTATCTGTAGTTTAGTGCGATGATCACCCAGTTTCATATATATTGAGACCACTGAGTGGACAATGTCGAGATTAGATTCACGGTACTAGGTGAGGATAGTAAATCAATTGATGAGATAGTAAATCTTCATTAATGGATGAGGATATATATTACCTATGCCAAACTACTGCCTACCTCGATAAGCTATGATGGTTGATATAGAAGTCGGTTGAAAGAAATCAAGAGCAGAAATACCGAGACATGATATTTTTGTTCATGAAGTCATCAGTGTTGTTAGACTGCGCCATCCAAGAACCATTTGGTTAGAATCCACGCGATTATTGTATTCAGTGCTTAGGAACTTCTGGTGATATGACTCAGATAATCGTTTACAGTGGTACAGTTGCATTCATCTTATGTCTTCTGTTTAATCCCAAGTTTCCTAATTATCTTGAGTAATGTTTTTATTTCACTAATCCATATCTACTTATCGAATCATATCATACTCACACAAAATTGGGATTTTATTGTTCTAATGTGGTATGTCCATATGTGTCAAGTATTCTTTTCATACGACTTACTGACTGATATATGTATCCTTAGAATAATTTTCTTTCGCATATTTTATTTTTCTATTGTAGAAATTTTTTATTCGTAGTTCAAAAGGAGAGAATTTTAGTAAATATACATGTACCAAGTCGAATACATGTGAAATTAACAAAGATACACGTACACATTGTCAACGATGTCGTTATCAAAAGTGTTTACGATTAGGCATGGTATTACCGGGTAAGTAAATTAGCATGTTTCGATTAATATATTTATCAAGTAATCATATGAACACATTCGTTCTGTACATTTATTTCACATTTCTCTATACAGCAACGTTGTATTGTATAAGTTATGTAAACCGGTTTGTTTATAGAAACATCAGAAGTGAAGCGCTAGAAACACACAGTGGTCCCATGGTTAGGCGTCCGCGCACAATAATGAAGGTCCTGGGTTAGAATCCTGCGAGGTGCAGGAGTCGTGGATGCGCACTGCTGATGAGTCCCATACCAGGACGAGACGGTCGTCCAGTGCTTCCAGGTTTCTAATGGTGGTCTAACAATGATTGATTGGTGATTTCAAAAGTGTAAAAACACAAATCTCCAAAACTCTAACTGAAAATAATTAACAAGAACCCATTTTGTTACGGAACATCTGAAGATAACCAATAAGTTTTAGTCCCATTTCATAATTATCAATGTCCCAACTGGAAAATTACAGATTTTTATTTAAATTGACGTTTGATGAAAATTGATATCGAATTGGATTTAAATCTTTATTTCAATATATTTACAGCCTTGTTACCAATATCATTTACTTCGAAGGTCAATTCACAATTTTAGAAAGTACGTACACTTGGTCACCTATTGATTCTGCTACAAACTAAGAATGCAAATAAAATGAACGCGATGACTATTAGTATATTGATTGATAAATTATATCTAAAAAGAGTCACTTAAACAATTACTTTATGTAGATTGAAATCATCAATCAATCATTGTTAGACCACCACTAGAAACCTGGAAGCATTGGACGGCCGTTTCATCCTGATATGGGACTGATTAACAGTGCGCATCCACTACTCCTGCACCTCGCAGGATTCGAACCCACGACCCTTGGTATTCTGCGCGAATGCCTAACCTCTAGACCACTGTGTCGTCATCCACCGGTGTTAATGTCTAACTCTGATCAATCTACAGATTTTGCGCGACCTCACCTATTTGTCTTCGGTAGTTAAAGCCTACCTCGGACACTGCTGAACTCATTGGTTAGGTCTTCTCATTAGAACTCCGAGAATTTCTTCACGAAGCTAGTCACTAATGAGCACATTTTACGATTTTTTCAATTACAGTTATAGAGATTAGTGTTTTTACACCCTAAAATCATCAATCAATCATTGTTAGACCACAATTAGAAAATTGGAAGCACTGGACGACCGTTTCGTTTGGTATATAACTCATCAGCATGATTGACCGATGATTTCAATGTGCAAAAAACACTAATCTTCATAACTTAAATTGAAAAATTACTTTATGTTCATGAGTAAAATTCAAGACATGAGTTTCGTTCTATACAGGCTTCGTCAGCTAAATATAATCTTATCTGTAGTAGACTCATTTCGAATTCTAACTTATTTTATCAACTAAACTAATTCAGTCTCCAATAACCATTAACTTCTTCATATAACTATGTATGTATTGTTGATATCTTTAGGCTAGAATTTATTTCAATAAATAGCATGAAATTTCCCATTGTTGAAAACATCTAACGTTCTTCTTCTTTTTGCTTTTTTTGTCATAACGGAATCAATAAAAATGTATGGTAAACTTGATGTGTAAATTTAATTAACTAGATACAACATTATCATGACACGGTTTACCACATCATTTTAATTAATAATAATAATAATCATCCTCATAAAAGCAAAAAACTCATTAGTCATTTGACTAATAGAAACGTGCTTATTTATCAATAAAATAAATCTCTTTTTCTTTAAAAAAAATTCTATACAAAAGAACAATTCTATTCATTTTTCGGTTTTTTACAGTTTCTTCTTTTTATGAATCAAAATGAAAAAATATCCATTTTAACTATACACTTTATGGTCTAATCTAAAATCATAATGACAATAGTAATCATTTAAAAGGTAAACTAAGCATCTTATCGAACGTGATCTTTGTAGAGTGATTATTGTAAGCAAATGTCAACTGTTCACCTGCACACACACACACACACCTACAGGTATAATTCAAATGATTCAAGACATTGTCACCTATTGTCATGTTTATATTGTAACAATATGTAGCAAGAGAAAAAAGTTAGCTACTAATTGTCAGGTAAATTTGTTTGGGAGAAAAAAATAATTCAAATAAAGAAATTCATGGGAATTTCACTCTGCATTTCGCTTCGATTTTTTCATTTTATTTTGTGTGTGTGTGTGTGTGTATGAGTGCTATTGTAATTACTGTGGAAAGATCATTAATTTTCTCAGGTGAGAACTATGAAGGTAAACATTCAATGTGTATTTTGATATGCTGTGGTACAACTTGAATGATACATTTATTATGGTGTAGATTAAAACTGCCTAAATTAATTATCATCATGTGAATTCAAGTGGTTAACTTTTTAGCTAAATTAATTATTAAAGTGTGAAATAGTTGTTGAGTCCATTGAAGTAGTCACTCACAGATGATCCTCAATGAGTATCTTGCTGAATTTCAAAAAGACTGGCTTTTTTTATGTAAGTAAACTTGGGCCATGATTGTGTTTGACTGGACGAATGATTAGTAGAATTTGAACATTCACAGTTCGATCTCATGTAAGATCGTATATGTGCATATTAATGTGTATTGATCACGAACAAGGATAAAACATTTGCCCAATACTTTCAACATGAATAGGTTGCAGGTTTTAAACATAGGTGTTTTTCGTGGAACGACCGGATAATCAACGCAGAAGTTAGGTATAGAATATTTGGTACTTACGGCAAAACAATCGAAGAGGTTATTAATCCTCATCGACTGAATTAGTTGGGACATGTGTTACGTAAGCCTAACCACCACCTATTTCAATAAAGAATATTAGCTAGTGTGAAAATAATTAGAATGAAAGTTAGGAGAGGGACAAAACCAAATACAACAATAGTCTCTGAAGACATTTGCAATTAGATTGAACAATGTAGATAGATACAAAGTAACTTGTTGGAGTTCAAGTGATTAAGTGATCTGAATAGTTGGGTAACGTGGTTTATAATTATGTCCATTCTTTATCTTTCTCAACGTCACAATTTCAAACTCGCTTCCATCATTACCTTTCGTTTTTATCGTTTCGAACTGTATTCACAATGCTTGTTCGTTCTCATTATCATTGCTGTTCTAAGGTTTCGGCTACTTTACTAGTTATCTCGTTAGTATCACCTCGATATGTTGATGAGATATGGTCACTAAAACCAACTCATATATGTTTAAGGTTCTACATTACTTATCACTGGCTAAACAATACTTCCTGGAATTCGATAGCTCTATGTAGGCTGATACCAGTCAAGGTTTTCTTAACATAGTTTGCATCATTCGTGAAATTATGGTGAGGAAGTATAACAAAGTTTAGAGGTTGAAAAGAATACTACTACTTAAAATATCAGTTCTCTGTACAATTTCAATACCTTATCATTCATTTTATTAACATGATACAAAGTCATTGATTCAGAAATGACTTTTTCAAATACAATTTGTCAATACAACACTGCTGATATATTTTGAATTTTTATCGATTGAAACAGTTTTATTGTATGCTTAGTACATAAAACACCAATTTTCGATGGGAAGAACAACGATCATATCAAGAATCAACAATCGAAACATTCGATTTAATTAGCCATTAAAATATTTTATAGTTGTATCATGAAAAGCTTAAATTATCTTTTTTATTGAGTTTCATATTCAACATGGAATATGACTTAAAGTCGATCATAGTCATACAGAAACATTCATTCATTGATTTCTTTTCACCATTGAGTTATCATGTTAGTTGACATAGTCTTATTTTCATTATTTTTTCTCAGTACTCTAAATATTTCCTTACTTAAGTGTGTTTATGATTATTATTAATATTACTTGATAATAATAAAAGTGGTTGAGATGGAGTTCGTGGAGTTTGTTGAATTTTATGATTTACGACGTAAATTGATCTTAGTTAAACTATGGAAGTCCAATAACAATAATAAATCGCCGTATACATAATTTCGATGGACATTGAAAGTTTGAGTAAGAAGCCATGATCAATGAAATTTAAACAAGCCAAGTGTCATCGGAAGGCTCTAGAGCAACATCATGAATTGATTGAAAGTACACGAATAGACTATTGAATGATGGCTCCATGGTATGAAGATCAGGGCCTTGCCGTTAAACCTCAAGGTTCTTAGTTCGATTCAAGTAGAGTCATCGATAAACATCACCGATTAATTCCATATTGGGGTAAAACAGCTATCTAGTACTTCCAGGTTTCCATTTGTCGTCTAATAAAGATCAGTCTGTGATGTAAACTATCAAATAATGTGATGATCATTGTGATGTATTCATTTCCATTCATGATAATTTCCATTTAGTATTACTTACTTTCGCCTGTTACCCCCAATATAGCATAGGCCGTCCACCAGTTTTCTCCAACCAACTCCGTCCTGGGCTTCCCCTTCCAATTCTGTCCAATTTTTGTTCATTCTTCTCTCTCACCGTTTTAGTTCCTTTCTCCAAGTCCATGTCGTCCCATGATGTCTTCATATCCAGTGTTGTCCATTCCAACCTAGGCATTTAGGTCTCCCATCAGAATGGTCAAGTCCTTTGGTGAGCATCTGTCGACGATTGACTGCAGCCTTTCGTAAAATTGATCTTTAACGTCGTCATTGTAGTCATTAGTAGGTTCATAGCATTGGACGACGTTCATTGTTATGTCGTCTTTCTTTGTTTTGAAGGATGCTTTAATGATCCTGGGTCCATGAAATTCCTATACTATCAGTGCCTTTCGTGCTTGTTTGGACGGCATCAGTGCAACTCCTTGTGTATGTGAAGCATTTTCCTCTTCATGACCAGAGTATAACAGCAGTTCCCCTGAAGCTAGTCTTAGTTGTCCCACCTGTGTCCAGTGCTTTTCACTGATGCCGAGCACCTCGAGGTTGTATCTTTTGATTTCTGCCGCAACTTGAAATAGTCTTCCAGTCTTCCATAATGTATGAACGTTCCATGTACTTAAAAGAATGGCTGCTCTGGTTGTCAGAAGAGGTATCAGCCTCGTGACTTCCGAGGGAACTCGGCTTTCATCACGTGACGTCATCATTCTTCTCCCAACTCCCAGCGCAGACTTAAAATGGTTTGATTTATTTTTTCCGGTTAGCGTTTTTTGGCTAGTTTTTAGTTGAGATGAGGGCGCCAAACCCATTTTCAACCCCTCCTCCTTTATCCAGGCTTGGGGCCGGCAGTAGCTCCGATGGGTCTACAGGTGGAGTTCCATTTAGTATACTAATTTGTAAAATGTGTTTATAGCTGATTAATGAAGTGAGATTTTCTTTCTTTCTTTTCAATTCTTTGTTTACAGGAGCTGCAGTGTTTCCAGTCACTGATATATCAGAGATCCCATGTCGTGTTTGTGGCGCCAAATCATCTGGATTTCATTTTGGTGCAATAACATGCGAGGGTTGTAAGGTAAATATAGCCAATAAATAGCTGAATTGATTAATCGAGTTGATTTTTAAAGAGTTCACGTTTGTCTAAGCGTTTACAGCAATTAAAAATTCTCACAATCCAAAAACGTACATTTCTCATTAATGTCTACTATATTTTTATAATTCAATTAAATTAAAACAGAAAAATTTCTAGCTATTCAATAATTTCTGTTAAAGAAATTTATGAAAACTTTCCAATATTTGATAAACTCTAAAAATATAATGCAACATTGTTGGGGACGTTAGATCCCCAGAACTCACTTGATAAAGGTCCTAATTTTGGATTTTATATTTTCGAGCATAGGCTGATCAGGTGACCCTGAGATTACATTTCACACCTGGAAAATCCTTGACTGTCATTGGTTGATGTGTTATTTTAGTACGCTATTTTGGTGGCTCTCCCAAGGACGTTTCTATCATGTATAAATAAACTCGATTTGTGTGCTTGTGGACCTCATATTTTCTGGGTGCTTGTAGAATACACTTTCTACGTCTTGTCAAAACTTCTTTCTCTACTTAGTGGGACGCTCGAATTAGAGTAGCCTATCATGTCACTAGATCATTTGTCTTCGCTCTCGTACACTGACTAAGGTGAACTCGTAATAGTTTCAAACGTTCTGTATTTAAAGTAAAATTAACTGTCTACCTAAAAGACAATTATTATGTTTGTTTAAAACTTGTCTTTGAAAATAGTCAACGATTTCAAATTAATTTAAATTTGTTTTTACTACATGCAGATGTTTCAAGTCAACGTGATAGGTTACAGTAATTTGACTTTTAAGAAAATAAGTAAATACACATTATAAAAGAATCTAATGAAATATTTTACAGATTATATTACAGATAAACAAAAGGACTAAAAGATATAGCCACAAATAAATGGCTAACGAGTTAGTTTGTTTAAGTATTCTGTTTTATTGATTTCATGAACTGATCCGATTCATCCTTTTGGTTTCATGACATTGTCTGTTTGTTATAAAATGTGAATTAAATTCGATTAAAATAATCATGATAATAATAATAATCACATATTTGCAATAATATGCCAACCAACTGACTTGACTTTTGCTCTTTTGGTCTTATCAGATCAATAACTACAGTGTAACTTGATCGGTAATATTCTGTCATGACAAAAAGCATTAGAAAACCATAAGGCTTGTTATTATTCAATCAGTGCTCAATTAGTAGAGAAGTATTTCAATCTTGAATGGAAATATCCTTTGGCTATGATACTTGAGGTGATACGAATTTGAATCGAATAAAACAAAACAATATTTTAGTCAAGATTTCAATTATTTTTAAATGATGAGTGCTTACCAGCATGAAACCTACATTCAGGGATTAAATTTGATGACTTCTAAGGATTGTATATCAGGTTAGTTGGTTCAAGAAGTAGGTGTTATTCACAAGTTCGCCAAGCATTTCTTTATCTGTTCTTAATTGTTAAATAATCTCTTTGAATGCATTGTCGTAATATAACTAGGTTGACCAGGATGTAGTCTCTGATAATCTGAAAGTAAGTAAATGTTGTTTATGCATGTGCCAAATCGTTTTATAGGGCTCTTAAGTGAATTACGTAAACATTCCAATTTGATTTACCGTTGAAGTGATGAGTAAGTTTATTTTATCAAGTATCTGTGTAACAGATCAATCGAGAGATAGTATATAGACTAATTACAATTTGTTAATCCGATATGATCATTAGAATGTTTACTGATTATTAAAAATTGTTGCAGATAGGCATGAGCAGTTAGTCAAGTCTGAGAGTTTAAAATGCAAAGGCAGCATTTCTAGTAGTCAGTATCCTTATTTTTATGTATTGAAAACATTCACTTATAGATTGGAAAATGTATTGAATTCTAATTTTTTCTTAACCAAAACTGTAATTACAATGGTGAAACTCAATATTGGTAATTGTTTAATGTGTACTAATTCACTATGAGGATCCACTAACCACCTACACTACTCTAAATTAACTAACGATTATTATTATGATTATAACGAAGAATTATTTTCCCAAACAAAATTCTTTAAAAGGGTTTTTTTCGACGAACAATTAATGAACGAGAAAGTCAACGTTACACTTGCAGAAATGGAGGCAATTGTACTGTTACCGGTGCTACAAGAAATAATTGTAAAAGTTGTCGTTATCGTAGATGTTTAGCTGTCGGTATGTCAAGACATGGTAAGTGTATACACATATACACTAGTTTGATTATTATATATACTTTTGATTGAAATAAAGTTGTTGTATACGGAGATGTCAACGATAGGTGAGTTGTATTTTCATGAAAAAAAATTATACTTTCTAATTGACAATGACATTTTTCAGATAAGTTTGAAAAATTTAATTCAGCTTTCAAAATAACTATTAAAACTTCATGCATACAATCTTAATTTCAAGATTCAGAAATGTTGAGGACGTTAGATCTACAGAACTCACTTGGAAAGGTCTTAATTTTGCAGTTTCATGCTGAAATTTTGAATTTCAGTGTTTTCGCGCCAGTTGATCTTCAGCTTATTTTTCCCCCTCGGAAAATAGTTGAATGTCATTGGTTGGTGGGATGTTTTAATACGTTATATTGTGGCTCTCCCAAGGGCGTTTCTATCATTGTATAAATAAGCTTGATTTGTGTATTTAGACAGCTCGTATTTTCTGGGTGCTTTTGGAATACATTCTCTACACCTCATCAAGACTTCTTGATCTAGTTAGCAGGGCCGGGGACAACGGATTCGAATAGCCTATCGTGTCACTGATTGATTGCTCTTCGTTCCGTTTATCGACTAAAGTGGACTCGTAATAGTTTCAAGCATATCAACTGGCGAGTATATCATGAAGTAGCTCAATGACAAAATTATCAATGACCATCAGTCAGTTTAATTCATGGTAGATAAACAAACATGTTTAGAGAAGGGAATCTTTGTTTCATTCCTTTTATTAAATTCAGTACTGATAAACAAATGATTACTGGTTTAATTTTCAATGTGGTCTTATTGAGAATACAAGCAAACATTCATTCGGTTTCAAATTACACCAAAATAATTTAGTCATAAATGGACAGAGATTTATTTTCATGTTTCTACCATTTTAATCACTACTATTAGATACAATTTAAGTTAAACTATATGTCATACAAAGTTATTCATGCAAAGAACAAAAAACTAAATTAAAGTCTTTTAATTTAATCTTGAATTAATTCACATGGTTGTATTTAGCGATGCAAGAAACCTTTCTTTTTCTAATTATTAAAAATTCAATAATTGTTTTAATGTATCAACTAAAGATTTGTTAGATTGTTGTTAAATTTATATTTGAAAGGAAGATATGAAACTTCAGCCTTTGGTAAGTTTGTGTTTAGCCAAAAGGTACCTTGTGTGTTGGGAAAGGGTGAGGAACAGTAAGTGACGTTATCTGGAAGAGGAAAGAACCAAAGAAAAAGTGAGCCGACGACTCAATAAGCCCATAGAATGCACCAACAGTTAATCAAGCAAACAATCAAAAATAACATAAACACAAGATTAAGACAAACTGATAATTAGAAGTAGAAGTTGGTAGCGTAAGGTTTCGAATATGTTACAGATATACTGGAAAAAACATCTTTTGTACACTGTGAATAACTGGAACTATCAATCTGACCAATTTATTGATCATGCATCAAAGCTGCAACAAGAAAATCTACTTGTGGTTATCATCATCTATTGAATATGGAAGAAATTGGTGGATTTTCTATTTTATGGTCATTAGTTGATTGAATAAGTAAAAGAATATTCAAAACGAAGCTAAGTATCACAAATAAATGTTTATGACGTTAATTAAAACTTGATAAGCATACATAATCACAAATGAGATAATGACTAGTAATAGAGATGAGTTATCAAGTATTGTTTTAAATTATAAGCAAATTTAACCTGTTAACAAAAACTTAAGCGAATAATTGAAAAGCTAATGAGCTTTATGAATGTATTGAGTTAAGTATTCCATTTATTCAATTAGAGTTAAGGAGATTAGTGTTTTTTGAACATTTAAATCATCAATCAATCATTGCTAGACCACCATTAGAAACCTGGAAGCATTGGACGGCCGTTTCGTCCTGATGTGGGACTCATCAGCAGTGCGCATCCACGACTCCTGCACCTCGCAGGATTCGAACCCAGGACCTTCGGTATTGTGCGCGAATGCCTAACTTCCGGACCATTGGCCGGCATCCGACGGTGTTAATGTCTAACTCTGATCAATCTACAGATTTTGAGCGACCTCACTCATTTGTCTTTGGTAGTTATTACTTACACCCGGCAGAGTTGAACCCCACTGGCCACGTATTCTCACTAGAACTCCTGGAATTTCCTCACGAAGCACATTTTACGATTTTTTTCAATTAGAGTTATAGAGATTAGTGTTTTTTTGCACATTGAAATCATCAATCAATCATTGTTAGAACAATTTCCATTATTTCAATAGTTTTAATGCGTTAAATTCATTTAATCTGCGTAGACAGTAGTTACATATTTTGTTTAGAATCCAATCATTACCGTAAATCCATATTAGATGGAAAATATTACATGTATGTTTTTTTTCACATATATTTCTCCACATTTAAAGTTGACCGATTTGGAATCAACGGTAGCGCAATAGAAGTTGGGTGAACTTTTTTCGAATACTTTCTTGTTGATTGTATTGTTGTAATCAAACATAAAAACTGACCCATTTTTAATTAAACTGTATGGTAGTAATGGAGATGTCAGTATTATTTACAATTAGTTAGGAGTGAGAGATTTGCTTTAGGAAGTATGTAATCAGTTCTGTTCAGTGCATAAGTGACTGCAGGTAAAGATTTTTGTCCAACAAACAACTAACGTTAAGATAAATGATAAACTGTGAGCATTCATGATCACACCTTCAGTTCCTTTGACAGGTCCGATTCTCATAGGTTACTGTTTTGGAATTCAACTTCAATGATATTATGGCGCAGTCAGTTTATTTTAGCCCATAATGAAAAAACTAACTTCAAATTTGTTGGGGATGTTAGATCCCCAGAACTCGCTTGATAAATATCTTTATTTTGGATTTATTTCATGGACCGATCAGTTGGCCTTGAGATCACATTTCCCACCGGGAAAATCCTTGGCATTGATTGGTTACTATGACATTTTGGTGTGCTATTTTTGTGACCGTCTCAAGGACGTCTCTATAGAGTAGAAATAAACGCAATTTAAGTGCTTGGATTCATTGTGCTGGCTGGGTGTTTGTAGAATACACTTTCTACGCTATATCAAGACTTCTTGCTGGTACAATTGGGTCAAGAGATCACAGTGGCCTACCTGGACACTGGTTCATTGTTTTGTTCTCGTCATTCGACTAAGGTGAACTCGTGATAGTTTAATCATACCTAGAGACTAGTGTAACAAAGTTTAACCATATTTTCATGAAAATTTAACATTCATTTAGTTAATTCTTATATATTTATTGATTTTTCAATTGATTTTTCTTTTTCAGGCAGTCGTATTGGTCGTCAACCGAATGCGATTAAACATCGTTGTGCAGTTGAAATTGAACAAATTCGTTTAGCAGTATCTAATTCAAATGTACATTATAAACAATATTCAAAATTCAATTATTCATCGGTGGCAAATTATCAATCATCGTATAATTTATTATCACCAATAAATCATTCACCATCACATCAATTAAGTGATTCATTGAATCACGATCATTATGAATATAAAATTAATGATAGTAATAATGATAATACTAATAATAATATTAATAAAGAGAGAATCATTTCAAATCAGAAGAATTGTTTAAATCAATCCACTGTTAAAACATCAAATTTGACACATTTAAACAATGCACCTTATCAGCAATTGTCAAATATCAATTTAAAACTTACAAAACAAGATAGTGAATTGCTTGAAGTAAATAATCATGATTATAATATTAATAATAATCTACGAATAATGTCAAAAGTAGACTTTCCGCTGTCATTTCCACAGTGTACACCTTCAGTACATATTCGACGAACAGCATGTCATCAACATTTGGATGAAATACCATTATCTGAAACTAAGTGTTTAACTAGTAAGAATCATGAATACATCATGAATTCCACATCACAACCACCTTCACCTATTCATTTTGAAGCAAAATTTATCGATGCAGCCATTATAGCTCGGTCACCAATTCAAACGACAACTACCACTACGACAACACCGCCAATATCAGAAAGTGTAAATTATTTAAATAAACAAATGGAATTCAATGAATTCATAAATTATAATTATTCATCAATTGGTTTAATAAATTTATCTAGAGCAGCACAATTCTATAGTCAACATGAAAAAGATTTACAAATACAATATGATGATGATGATGTTGATGATGATAGAAATAATACAATTAAAACAAAAAGATATGATCAAATGTATTTAAATACTACTGTTATTGATTCCATTGACAGTAGTATTGATGATCACTATAAAAAATCACGAAAAGAAGACAAAAATACAGAATATTTACATAATGCAAATTTGCAATTGAAAAAAGAATCTAACCAATCGAATGATGATGATGATGTTGTATTAAGAACCAGTGATTACGAGTCACCGACGTCTGTACCAAATTGGAACATTGAACACACAGAAGAAGACATACATAGGAATGATTTACAACAATTCAATTCAATGGTTAGAAGGATAGATTCAAAAGAAATTTTATCGAATTTAGAAGCAAATGTTCAAATAATGAATGAGAACTACAGTATCCTTGATATTAATAAATCTAATGAAATCCATACTTCAAAACAGATGAAGATCGATGGAATCATGAAAACATCATCAACATCATCGCCACCAGGAACTCATCAAACTCCCCATTATACTTCTGCTTCTTCATCATCATTAGTATCATCGTGTAGTACATTGACTAATACAATATTATCATCAACAGCAAATTGTTGTTTAAATTCTACGCAATTTTATAATTTAGATTCAACAATTACTCAAACAACTGATTATTCAACTATGATTGATCAACAACAATCTAGTAGTCCATTTCAATTGATTGAACAAAACGATAGTAATAATAGTAATACCTCATTATTTCATTCAAGCTGTCATAATAATACTGATGACTGTACATTTTCGAATACAACATCTACATGTGGATATGATGGAGTACAAAATGAAAATTATTTAACTAATATTTATGAACAATGTCGCGAATTGTGTTCATTACCTTCTTCTATTGAACAATTGAATACTGGCGTCATTGGTAGTAATGATACTGACAATAATAATAGTTATAGTAATAATAATAATAATAATAATAATACAGTTCAAAATAAACGATATTCATTTAAAAATCTGCAATCATTCACTTCTTCAGGTAGTCAATATCATTCGCCGTCAAAATCTTTTTTCAATCGACATCATACACGAGTTTTAGGCAAACCGAAATTATGCAATAAAACAAATCAACACGAAAACAATTGTCAAACTTCAAACTTATTATTTCAATTTAATGTAGATAATGATCAACATATAAATAATAGAGATGATTTTTTAGAAAATCTAACAACAACTAGACTACATAAGGTCATGAAAAGTGATTTACTAAACAATTACTGTTCTAATAACAGTAACAATGATAACGATCCAATTAAACAAGAGAATATTGCAATGAATCAAAACCAAGCTATTACAACCAGTATGTCATCGGAATGGGTAGATAGTGCAAATCTACGAAGGAAGGTAATTTTCCCAGTGATTTAACTAAATAATAAACAATAAATAAAATTAATATTTCTTTGTTCGTTTTGGTAAATGCAAGCCATATGGTATTGAATTATTTGTTCTGATTAGCGTTTTTTTCTTAACAATTTGATTTTCTACGGGATGGGGTCGCTAATCCCATGCTCAACCCTCCTCTATTCGTGGGACTGGGATCGGCAGTAACCCTAGAAGGGCTGCAGAAGGAATTTGAAGCAGACATCAAAAGAATGAACTAAAATTGACCCAGAAAACAGTAGATTGGGAAATATTGGTCGGCGGGATAAACTCCACAAAGGGTAGCAGGTGTAAGTAGCGAGTAACTAGTAATAAGGTATGGGATCAATAGGTGTCCGTTGCATTTTAATCATTCTCTGCAGTTTTGATCGTGACTTCTTACTTGGTTTTTTGTGGTTAGGGTTGTTGTGTTGCTCTAAGTTAGTCAAAGTGCTACTTGATTAGGTTAATTGTTCTTTAAAATTTTAGCATAATGAAAAAAATATATATCGATCGATGTTATAATCTATGAAAGAACTAAGAATCATCTCAATAATACAGCGGATTCGTATTCAGATAGTAAGTAGTAAGTCGTTTTTTTTAGATAATTACCATCAGAATACTTCTGACTAACTAGATATCACCATCGTCTTAGTCTATGGGATAGTGTGCTTCGTCGAAAAACAATAATCAAATATTTCTTTAAGGTGTTTTATAATCATCCATCCACTTTTAGCCAGAATACAAGTTATCACTAAATGTTAATCACTGTTATTATTTCATAATTTGTTCTTATTCCCTTCATTAATATAATGCCTCTTTATTTCTTATGTTCTGAACTCAGATAAAAACGATTCAGCCTAATCCACCAATGAAGCTAATCTTATGGAACAATGTTTCAACTAGTAGTATCTGGATGAATTCAACATTTAAAAAATTAAGGATTTTTTACACGTTTGTATCATTACTGTAATGAGGTTGCATAAAATTGTCTTTCAGGTATATGAGAATATTTTATGCTCACATATTGTGGACTCGCATAGTTTTCACATCTAAACAATGCATATGAGCTTGTTTTGGTTAATTCATTCAGTTATTTGATATCCTATGTTCTGTATGTATCATTTAAAGTTGGGGCATTACATTCTAGTAGGTTTTAGAGTGATACTTTTGTGGACGATAGACTGGGTTTCATTAGCATTCATCAGCTTAGTTTTCTAGAGTATACATGAAAGTGTCTGAACTGCTATGTTAAATTACTTATATACCAAACAATAAGAATTGGTAACTTAGTCCAAAGTTTTTCCATCAGTTACTTTCAACAATAGGATAGTGAAATTTATCTACTGAAATTAAACTAGTATTTGATGAATACTACTAACGACACCTATTTTCGGGATTACGTAACTTATCACTATGACAGTCTTTAATCTTGTACTGTACTTTTTTATTTTTCAGCGAATGCATATGCCCAGAACATCAAAACTATATGCAGCTAATAATAAATTATTATTCAACACTTCAACAGAATCATCTACGCAACAATTGATTGTATCACAAAACAAAATTGATCTGTCAATAAATTCAGAAAAAATTGCCGATGAATACACTTTTGAATTAGGTGATACTGATGAAAGAAGTCGAATTAAGCATAGACAAACAAGCGGTAGTAGTAGTAGTTTATTGGAATCCCCAATTATAATTATTGATAATCAATTGTCTGTTTATGAAGATGACCAAATGAATAATAGATCGATCAGTCCCAATAGCAAATATCATCATCATCAACAACAACATCATCAACAACAACAACAACAGCAACCTCAATTGATAAATTTATTAGAGAAAATTGATTTAGATACAGAACTAATGGTTGAACAGTTGAAATCAACTACTACTGTTACAACGCATTCAAGTCTACAGAAATGTATAGAAGAAATTTCATGCATTGACTCGATTAAAACTCATTATTCTTATGATACTTCCAATACTGTGTTGGGAATGATTTATCATAATGAATATGAACCAGTTTATAGTGATCATAATACAATATCATATGATATTGTAACCAATACAACTGTAAATAATAGTTTGACTTATCCAGGAATGTCATCATCACAGTTTATTCCTATAACAAATGATGATATAGTGAATACATCCAACTGCCTCGATTTTTATATGACTAGTAAATATACTGATGATAATTCTGATGAATTCAATAAGTCAAATTTACGCTTAGAACGCAATATAACTGATTTTAACGATTCACCAATTCATTTGTTACCTTCTAACGTTACAAATGAATGCAGTGAATCGGTACATCACCTGTTACGGCTAAACAATCGGTCTATTCAAAACAATGAGCTTCTTCAAAATATTAAAAGTGCTACTACTCAGTTACTGCATTGTCAATGTAAAGTAAGTTCAAAATGAAGAATAATATGTTTAAAAAGTAGTTGAGAATATAAAAATAGACTCATTATAATATCATAGAAGAATATTTTCTTCCCTTCATTAAATAGTCAACTTTTCCTGTTGCAGAATATTTCTTTAATAACAATATACTACTTAATAAAAAGTAAGTAGTACAAAAATTCCGCATCAATTATTAGGAAGTTTGAACATGTTGATAATATTCGTTCGTTTAGAACGTGAAAGTGTAAACAAGTAGTAATTAGTACATAGAAAGAAACAGACAAAGGTAAGTATTTAAAATAATCTATTATCTATGTTTCTATAAGGATAACGTAGCAGATAATTTCTAGGTTAGGTAATGTGATCTATCTATATTAAATACATTTCTAATGCTTTGTTACGTCAATTTTATGCACAAGAAAATAATATGATGAGTACTTTAGGAGTAGAATAGAGCAGTTGTAAATTTGTAATCAAATGCAATCTCATTCAGTTTCATAAATATGTTTCATGCGCTTAAACAATTTTGGTCTTCAACTATTACTAAATATAGGTGTCTAGTGATTTTTGGTCGTAAGCGGGGATAATTTCCTAAACATACTAAGCTTTGCAATAATGAATTTTAACTGCTCTGCTCATGAATACTTAAATTAGTCATGAAAAATAGAATTCCTAGTATATTTAAATATAATAGTCATTACACAAATAATGCTATTTAATAAATCAAAATAATGCGCAATTAGACACCAATTATTTCGTAATTTTGAACTTTGAGCTCTGCTGACCTTTTGTAGAACAGTATCTAAACTGTTTAATTCTTAAAAAATCATTCCATTGAATTAATAAGCAGAAATTCAACAGTTCACACTTTAAACTTTATTCAACTTATTATACTCAGTAGTAATTCACATTCAATATAGTCACTGGTACATGATTACTTTCACTTTCTATTTGTTTGACTCTACGAATCACAGCTTATCACATTCTGATTTCGGTAAATCTACTGATGAACAGATTGCTAGACAATTTAATTGGAAAGTAGATTTTGATCAAGAACTAATATCGGGTAGAAAGATAGAGAGAACCACAGAAAACTTGTATTGAGTAGCTGTTTTTCAATGGTTTTCTGATTAGTTAGTTAAAATTTTAAACTATATTATCGTAAGAAATAACATAAATATCTTCTTTTATTCAAAGTTACCTGAAAATCTACACACTGTAGATGAAAATCCCGAAATTCTATGGTACAATCTAATGAAATATTTTGAAATACATATTTATGAAATCATTCAATTTGCTCAATCTATTCCTAGTTTTCAAGAACTTACTGAGCTCGATATGAAAATTCTGATTCAACAAAGTATCTATCCAATTATTTTAATTCAATTATCTCAAAATTTCAGTAATAATAATAATAATAAACAAACAAAAGAATATTATTATTTCAATATTCAAAATCAAACAAATTTAATAAATCAATATTCAGTGTGTAAAATATTATTTGAACAAATTAATTTCACAGAAAATTTATTAAAATCATTAGATTTAAATGAGACAGAAATTGGTTTATTATGCTGCATTGAATTATTTCACGGAGGTTAGTTAATGATGAGACAGTTGATTAGTTATCATTGTTTCCCTAAGTATTACACTAAGATTAGCAAATCTAGTAATCTTTTGGGTTATTTTCATCATGGACTAATCTCTATTCGGGGTACCAGTGAAAACCATGAAGCACCGTAGGACTGTTTCTTCCTAAAATACGACTCCTCAGTAGTACCTACCATGACCCTTTTGAGGATGAAACCCAGGTATTATGGTAAACGCCTAACTATTAGGACCACTCTACGGTGTCCAACAATACAATCTCAGCTGTAATCAATTTGTGATGTAGTTAGACGATAATCCACTTATAAGGACTTTCATTCTTAACATATCTTGACATCACTAGTCACAGCCTGTCAATATGGATTCAGGAACATTTTGATGTTTGTCATTAAGCTGTACAAAATTTGAACAAAACAGCTGTTTAGTGTTTCTCGTTTTTAATGGCATCCCAATCGAGAAGTGTAAATTGAAAAAATCTTCATAAAACCCTTTCATTTTAATCTGATGACTACTGAATATTTACATGAATGGAGCATTTTATGACAAATACATCCATATTTATCTTGGTCCTGAGTGCTGGTCGAACTTCTATCGATCAAATTGAACTATCAAACTAAATGACATGATATTGAGATGAACTTTATTGGAGGTGAAAAGTTAGAGGCAATCGATATAAAGTCTTGAATTTTGTCATATACGGAACATTGGCTTGATTATAATCTGAAGCGAATTGATGTATGATTCGAACATGGATCACCTGGGGTTATAGTTAGGTTATCATAGGTATTCATACAGCAACTGATCCTATGTTGTAGGACGATGTGGTTTACGCAGATTGATTACTTAGTAGTAGCAATCAAACATCCATCTTCAATTATCGACAAAGAATGAGATATTCTTTGAAATTTTATGTAAGGGATAATATTGCTGCCCAACTAGTCAAACGAAAAAAGTTTCGAAATTGATCAAACATGAAAGCTTTCAATCTGTAACACAATACTCTATAATAAGTTGAGAATGTTAAGTATTTTCCTAGAATAGAAAAACTACTCAATCAATCATAAGTTTAGCAAAAAAAATATTTTGAGTTATAGTGTATGTCTGTGTTCCTTCTGATTATTGATCTACATAAAACATGTTAATTTTACAGATGGAAAATTTTTGAATGAACCGCTAAAAATAAACGAAACTTATCAAACAATGATTCAATTATTAAAAGAGTATGAAACAAGTAAGAATATTTAAGTGACCTTTTTTTCTCTTACTAATAAAATCCATTCATATTATTTGTTTAAATAAGAATGTTTAATAAATAGTAAATCAAACTTTCTTATAAACATTAGTTTCTGTGAAATAAAAGTAAATCAGTTGAATAAAACTATTGAACTCATTGAAAATTAAACGATGATAATATTTACAGAATTTTAAATAAAAAAAACTATGAAAAATAATTCACTTCAGTGATAATTCGATTTATTTCTGTAGGGAACATTGAACGATTTATACACTAATTAATGTCATACTATATTTTGTGTTGATTATATTTGAATCATGGAAAAACAATTGAATTTACACGAACAAACTGTGTACTCTGTGATTACAGGAAAATCAATCAAACTTTATGACATAATTTGATTTTATTATTATGGTCTTTTATGATTGTCACTTTAACTACCTAAGTTATATACTTTGCATATAGCTAACAGTGTGGTGCTGTGGTGCGAGCTACTTATAAGTAGTATATGACGCGGGCGTCAACGTAATGTCTGGCAGCAGAAAATAGGGGAAAGATCAAGAAAGGAAGCGTTAGAAAATAATGAGATTTGTATGAAACGCATGAATAATGACAATGGATTGATGTTTTGCAACAGGAACAGTCCAGTTCGATAGGATGAACTGATATTTTGCAAATTAACGATTTACGATATGGTTTTCCGATTTTACTGAGTAACTCTGTAATTTTCGTTAAATACAATTCGGTTGCCCCACCTGTGTTCTCGTTCACTACAACAGTTTTAATTACTTACTTACTGGATGACCTGCATGAACAAATCATTGATTTGATTATTTCAGTGTCAACTTGGTAATTAAAAACTCTAACTCTAAGTTGAGAGTGGTATTGGCGACCTGACAGAGTGATTGCAAAGCACAAGCGGCAAGTGCTTGATGTTGGTCAAAGACTTTTTTATGAATAGTTTTTGATATATTAGCTCTGTGGTTTTTAGACATTACCGATGAGGTCGAAAATCTATGGGGATCGACTACTCTCAACCCTACCTTTCATTAAAAGAAAGCAGCTTGTTTATTTAGATCCTGGCCATGTCCGGTAAGTCGATTAGAGAGTGGTAAGACTAAAAAGTGAAGTTGTACTACCGACTAGTTAAGAATGTGTTTCCTTTAGTAACCTAGTACCTTTAGTGATGCTCCTTTCTTATAATGCAAGGTAGGGTTGAGAGTAGTCGATCCCCATAGATTTTTGACCTCATTGGTAATGTCTAAGCATTCTCTACAAAACAAAATTTTCATATTCCTTTCTTATTTTTGCTTTGTGTTTTTTTTAATAGATCAATTCAATTCAGATAAACGTTTCTATAAAATTATGTCAATTAAAAATAATTTAGATAAAATGAATATTGAACATCAAGAAATATTGAAAATACTTAAATATGAAAATAATTATCAACCATTTCTTGATTTATATATTCAATTATTTCAATGGAATAAATTTGAATTTGAATCTCTGTGAAATAAATTTCCATATTGATAAAACAAGTAGTCAACATGTGAACTAATATCAACGAATCAATACTAATGTGTGCAATTCAAATTTTAATATTAATTTTTAATTAACTTCTCAGGTTGTTAAAATAAGTACCTACTTTTCAAGTATATATATTGATTATTCATTTTGTGCATTACTGTAATGTAATGACGAATCCAAAATGTGAAATCCCGGTGTGGTTTATATATAGATACGAGTAGAAAAAAGGCAGCTTTTATGATTTATTCAAGTAGACGGAAAAAAAATAGATATTTTGTTTTGGTGATGAAGTAAAAGAAGTGTTTCAATTTAATTTTCCCTCCTCTTTTTTTTGCATTCTGTTTGTGAATTATGTAAGCATACATATTTGGATCCGCATACAAATGACTATAGCTGACTATAAACTATACAGGTATATGTGAATTGATCCTTTTATTGCTTGATCTATTGGCACTGGGTTTATACTACTACTAGTAATATTACTACTTTTATTATCAATATTCAATACATATATTGAATTTTTTCTTTTGTTTGTGTTTTGGTCAATTTTCTCTTCCATTCTATTCGTTGTTTAAAAATTCACTCATAATCTGTTACTTTGGTGAATTAATCTTTATCAGGGAATTTTATTTAAATAATAAATATATCTCTATTATTGATTTATATTGTATTATAAATTATTTGTTAATATTTACTCATTAAAAGATGTACAAGAATTAGAGCACAATGAATTCTTTAGAGGAGTGAATGTTTAGAAGCTGATGATTCATGAAGGATGATCTTAATTATCAAATAACATTAACCGAATCAGTGATAATAAGGAACTATATAAAAACTTTCTTTTTTGGTTTAGAAATGCTACATAACGGTGCATATTAGGCCAGCTGAATCTATAACCTTAAGCTTTGGCGGCAAGCACGACACTCACAAGCTTATGAAGTTAGGATCCACATTCTGAACTTCTGTCAATTCGCAATCCAAATTCAATAAATTGGTTTAATTCCTATTTATTTTTTGTAATAACTTCGGGAAATTCGTTTTGAGTAATAGAGAATTTCCGAATTACGTACTCATTAATTAATTTATCGACGAAGTTACAAGAAAGATTTTTTAATTATTGATAGTGTATACTTACTCAAAGAATCCGGGCACTAAATGGATTCTATGTGACTGACATATTTATTAAGGTTTCAGAGTAATCAGGATTTCCACTAAACTTTCTGTTAGACAGTACGATTTCGACCAAGTGGATGAAAGTGGTCATGAGTCATCAGGCGTTTTATATTCTTATTAATGCTGAATAAACGTTTTCCTTAGTAAACAGCTTATGTATGCTTTTCAAAAAGCGCACAGTTTTACCATGAGAGTGAACAACAGGTGGAATTATTTCTCTTGAATATACAGGATGAGATCAGACATGCGGTTATATGATATGTAGCTCGTTTCAATCTTGAGAATACAAAGAGCAGGGATTTCTTTAGATATATTGTATTTATGTTATAGGATGCACCTGAAACCTTGAACGGATATACGAAGTATCGACAAGCATCACAGCCCTCGATAAGACGATAGGCCACTTAACGTTCTACAACAACAAGCCCTTCTGTTCAATTTAATAGCAAGTTGGAGCATAATTTATGATTCAGTGTCTAACGCTGAGTGGGAAGCGAACACAGTTTGAGACCTGGACGTGGTTGTATAGACCAGATATTTATACTACGACAGGTCTTAGAACACAGACACACATATAGGCGTCCAACAACTGTTGTCTTTCTGGACCTCAGAGCGGCATTTGACTCTATCGATCTTGAGATTCTGTGGCAGACTCTGTCATTGAAACGTGCAGCGGAGAAGTACATTAACCTTATAAAAGCTCTCCACTCGAACACCACCGGTCGAGTTAGGACTTATGACGAAATCATCAGAATTGATCACGTCAAGTGGTGTCTGTTGATGTCCACTCTCTCCATTCTTGTTTAACTTTGTCGTAGACATGCCTTAAGAGTTAACATTATCTAAGTCTGACTTTTCAGGGGTGGACCTTCTACCAGGAGACTCGCTTGTTGACTTATAATATGCCGTTGACATAGTCCTATTCGGTGAAGACGCTAACAAAACGCTGTCTTGACTATTCTAAGCAACAATGCATTTTCGGGATGCGGTTTTCCCCCTCGAAATGCAAAATGTTGCTTCAAGATTGGCTTGCATCGGCACCTGAACTAGCGAAGCAGCTGAGCATATAAACTGCTCATTTATCTTGTGAGTCTCAAAAGTGTTGATGGCCTGGTGCCTGACTGAATCTCAGAGCGAATACAGAAAGCTTGATTGTATCTTGTCAACGCGTCATTTATGGCGTAGGAGAGATATCCGTCTGCCAACCAAAGGACGAGTGTACTGAGCAGCTGTGTGCTTGCTCTCTTGTACTATATGGATGCGAAACATGGCCTTTAAGAGTAGATGTTTGCAGGTTACTAGTTTTCGATCATAGATGTCTTCGAACCATTGCTCGTATATCCTGGGACAACCGAGTAAGCAATGCTATAGTTAGGAATTGAGTACTAGATAGGAATGGCAGAGTAATTGATGAAGTAGTGAAACTTCATCAGTTGAGGTGGTTGTGACATGTGTTACGAATGCCCAACCACCGACTGCCTTGACGAGCAATGTTTTGTGCTGTAGGTTGGAAAAAAGCTAGAGGCGGCCAGACGAAAACATAGCAGAAATCCATGAAGTCACTGGCAAGTGGATTGAGTCATGTTGGTAAACGTAGACTACGTGGTTGGGATGATAGTAGTCGATCGTTGGAGACCTTGAATGACATGGCTCAAAACCGTTGCAACTATGCAGGTGTATTCATTCCTTGTGTTCTCTCAAATTCTAACCTTTTGAATTTCTCATGATGGTTTTTGTTTGTCGTTTTTTAATCGATTCCTCTCGGGTATACAGCTCGAATGATATATTCGATCATTAATGTTTTTGATTACTGCTAATACTTCTACTACCTCTACTACTATGGGATTTAAATTCACAATAGCGTATCTCTGCTAATGTGATATGGCAACTTGGACTGATGTAAGTACGTACGTACGAAGTTCTACGTTGTAATTGACTGACTGACAGTTCAAATCCTAACCCTAAGAGTAGGAGGAGCAATATTTAAAAACCGACAGCCTGACAGTCGGAATCAATGAACTAACACAAACATAACATAATCAAAACTCGAAATGTGGTATTAATGAAATAACAACAATTCAAACAAATCCTTTGATTGAAATAAATTTAAACATATGAAAAGTACACAACAATTGTAGGAGATATGATAATAATTGATATGGAATCACATAATAGTAGAAGACATATTGTTATGCAAAAGATAAATGGAATGAAATCGATAAAATAAAAAGTAATCAACAACAACAACAATAATAATAATTGGGTAAAATGAAATAAAAAAACGGCCATACACACACAGGCACACAATAAAACCACAAATGTCTTCTTTTATTTTTCAAACAAAACAAAACAACTGTAGATTTGTGTGTACATACCTACTTTGGAAAAAAAAGAAACCGATCGCAGTGAACTATTATGGAATTAAGTGATACATGATTGTTGAGAGAGAAAAAAAATGATCAAACTAATTTAATTAGTAGTAAGACATATTATATAATGCAAAGATTAAAAGAACAAGTAGTAATAATCAATGCTTTAAAATTCCATCGAATGCCAATTGAACACCAGGATATACGTCCATTGTACGTGATTTTAAAGATAACTGTGTAAAGAAAAAACAGGGGTGGGGGGAAATTTGAGAAGAGATAACAGATGAGTATTCTATGGCAGCAAAGGACAAGAGTGTTCAACAACAATAACGATGTAACATGATGATTTCACAACACACATTGTAAACTTTATTATCGATGGGGGATTAGGCCTATTACTTTTGTGGACTAAGTTATCGCTACTCTCAAAATGACCAATCAGCGTATAATACAATTGACTCGACAGAATGACATTTAAAAATTTGTCTTAACGATTGGCTAGTGTTTATTTTCAAAAGGTGGTTCGAAATCCTACAAAACTCTTAGAGAATGAAATAACAAAGGATCTTTAGAGGATGATAAGTATTAGAAAAGGGAAACTCAAAGATAGCAGAATTTTGCTTACATAATGAAGAGTGATATGGAATAATGACCCAATGATGTTGTATGGATCAGTGGTTTCAACATGATGTACACCTGATGTGAAATACTTTTAGCGAAGTGAATCAGAACCAATATTTTAATGATTTGACGAACAACGTTGCAGTAAAAATGAATTTAGCGCAAACTAACTGTTTGACAAGATTGTTACAAGGAAATAATATTTGCAAACAATCATCTTTCGTAACTTGCTAATGGGTAATTTTTCCCGTTTTAAAGTTTGTTGTTCCTGATTACAAACTGATTCAAATTAATACTGCGCTCGTATATACAATTTTTTTTAAGTGAAATTTGTCGACCGATCAATTACCTTCATATATATAATCAACACAGTGAAGAATTACAAATCCTTATTGATATCATTATGCGTAATGAACACGTCAGCGGATATGTGGACTCAGTAGCTCAGTGAATAAACACTACTGGAATCTAAGTATATCCGGAATTGGACAAATAGGTACGTTCCAGATATCACTGATAGTTACAATTCAAATATAAATAAAAGAAACTTAATTTCTTCTTACTGATAATCCATTATTTACTAATAAATTTAATTGAAACAGTAAAAAAAGGAGCGAATAGGAGAGATTAACAGGTAATACCATACAATAAATCTTACAATGAAAGACGGATTGTCTGGTCGAATTTTCAATTCAGCTAATACCCAAATACCATTTGTAAGTTTCATAGATTGATAAAGCATATCTTGACCATCTACATTACGTTTAGCAATAGTGAATACATTGTTTTGTCGTAATTTATTGCTACAAGCATCTAGAATAA